GGGGGGGGGGGGGAAGAGAAGAAGTGGGGGAGGTTAGCAGGTCCTTGCGGGGGTTGGCGGTTCTGGGGAGGGGGTTGGTGTGATCAGAGGTACCTAATGGGTCTGTGGGGGGGTTGGTGGGTCTGTGGGGTGGGGAAGGGTTGTCCATCTGGGGGGGTGGGGAGGTCGGGGGCTAAAAATAGCCCAGTCAGGGATGGGGGAGATCGTGCAGCCCTGGAACTGTGCTCTTCCTTTGAGCATGTGCACATTTGGTAGATCTGGCTAACCCATTCCCAGTCTAACTAAATTCATCTCCTCAGATTAACTAATTTAGATCAGGCCGGGCATTTTTTGCCTCATCAATTTAACATCCCTGAACACCTGCACAGACCAGCACTAAGATCAACCTAAATCTGTATGATAATCTAAATGTAACATCTGCACATACCTTAAGGGTTGAAGGATACACTATAATGGGGCTGTCCAATTTCTAGCTAGCCAAGGCCACATTACCCATAGGCTGCTCTAGTGGGGACTGTAGGTCCTCAGGGCTGCAGGCTGCATGCCCCCCTGCTGTGTGGGGTGGGGGTAGGAAGGGAAAGCCAGAGGGAGAGGAAGCCTGCAGCCCCTGGTGCTTCTGCAGTCAGAGCAGTAGGGGGAATGGCATCTGGGTGGGGGCCTGTGGGCAGCAATTTAAGGCTTTCCCAGCCACATACAGCCCACAGGCTGCCAGTTGGACAGCCCTGCACTGTAATAGAAATAATAAAATGAAAATTGTAGTTTCCCAGTATGAGTGCACAAGCCAGAGAGAGAGTTCAGGGAGCATCTTCTTAGTACTATATACACCAGGGGTAGGCAACGTTCATAGAATCATAGAATCATAGAAGTAGGGTCAGAAGGGACCTTGTAGATCTTCAAGTCTGACCCCCTGCCTGGGCAGGAGGAAACTGGGCTCAAATGACCCCAGCCAGGTAGGCATAAAGCCTCTTCTTAAAGACCCCCAGGGTAGGAGCCAGCACCACTTCCCTTGGAAGTTGGTTCCAGATCCTAGCTGCCCTAACCGTGAAGTAGTTCTTACGGATGTCTAATCTAAACCTACTCTCCAACAACTTGTGGCCGTTATTCCTTGTTATCCCGGGGGGCGCTAGGGGAAACAAGGTCTCCCCCAA